AAAACAGGGAATTGGAAATGTGGAAATAGCTGGGTGTGCTCTCACCTCTTTCCATGTGCCACTAAATCTGGGGAGCTGGAAATACAGGAACAAGCCTCCAAAGCCAACAGCTGTGTGATCTTTGGAGTGTTCTCCAGGGAATTTGGGGAAGCAGAGCAGCCCCTGGCATTTGCTGTTGGGGGGAGGCCCTGTGGGGTCACACAGGGGGGTGACACAGCCCYGCTGCAATCCCTTCAAGAACCAGGGGAATTTCATCCCTCGTGCAGCTGCACCAGAGGAGCTGTTYGGCTCCAATGCTCTCATGTTGCTCCATTACAAGAATTCCCAGGTGAAATGGAGTAACAAAAGGATCTGGGTAACAAAAGGGTCATGACTGAATGAGAGGCTGAACTTCAGCAGGCTGCAAAATACTCYGATGAAAACAAACCACCAAAGCAGATGGTATCTATCCCTTGCAGATCCTCCTGACCCTCTGCCCTCACACAAACTCGCTGCAGGAACAACTGCCAGGGCTGGCAATGGCAGGTACTTACGATTGACAGGCAAAAGACATTCCAAAGATGGGGATGCAGCGGAAAATGCCCTCCCAGCGTGTGTAACTCACTCGCTGCAGCCACTGCCCGCTGAACAGCCCGTGCTTGAAGGAGGACAGCACAACCTGCAGCCAGGACAGAGAGCAGGGGTGAGGAGCCAGCCCCAAATGGCCCCATGGCAGCAGCAATGCCAGGCTGGGATAACAGGCAGCGTGTGACAGCTCTGCCAGGAGCAGCCTGAGCTGCCACCACAGCCCCATCCCAACYCCCCCTCCTCCCTGTGCCACCCACAGAGCTCCCAGGGCCACCAAGGATCCCAGCAAATATTTTAAATCCCCCTTTTTCTGATGCCATCCCACATCACAGCACTCATCAGGGTGGGACAATTTCCACYGACACATTAACTGTGAAAATTATTGTTCAAAACAACCTCTTTTGCACTTTTTTAAATGTGTTTTTAAATCCAAACAGGAAGCACGGTTGGCCTSAGAGAATCCTGTTCAGCAGAGGGAGACAAAGGGTCCTAAAACAGGATCCCACCTGCTGCTCCAGAGCCATTTAACAATTCCAGCACACCAAAGAGAAGGAAAAACTTCAGGAAAGGGGGAGGAGTCGAGGCTGGGGAGCTCCCTTGCCATGGACACAGGAACTGGCAGGAGTTGGGTTGCACAGGAAGCAGAAGGTAAATATGTCTGAATGTCTGTTTATAATATCCCTGGATGGGGTTTCTAATCCCCAGAGATGTTTCAGTGCAGCCAACTCTCATGAATGTTGTGGTTTCTTAAAGGCACAGCTCCTGGGATGTTCCACACCTCCCTGTGGAGGCAGTTCCACAGGGAACTGGAAAAATCACATGGAAAGAATTTCCACACCTTCCTTTTCTTCCAGTCTTGAAATTTGGGTGAGACAGGGTTAGGGCTTCACRAGTGAACCACAGGAGCATCCAGGAGGTGGAACTGGTCATTAAAAAGCAAAAGAAAGTAGGAAAACAGGATTCCCAGTGTCCGTACCCACCACGAACATGAACACGGTGTAGAAGATGAGAGCCATGGCACTGAAGGATTGGATGGAGGCCATCATGTTCCTCTGGAGGCTCAGGGGAAGGACAATGCACAGGGAGACAGCAAAGAGCAGGACAATCCTGAAACTGCCCGACACCTGCAAAGGGGACCTGCATAAACACCCCACCCAACGAGCAAACCCTGACACAGTTCATCTTTCCAGAGTGAAAAGCAACTTTAAACAGTGAAATTGTGTGTCTGGAGGTGTTTGAAAATGCTGTGAGCTCTGTGGGCTCCATCTGTGCTGAGCTGAGACAGTCACTGGGTGCCACTGTTGCTCTGCAGTGTGTGACAGGTCCRAGCTGCAAAAATTTGGGGGGTGGTTGTAGGGTTTAAATGCTAATCCAGCACAAGCTATTTAGGTATTTTCATGCAATTAAATAAAACCTAAATTTACTTGGGGAGACGAGAGATTGGAAGTCCTGAAAACTCCGATCCAGAAAATTAATCAAAGCCTTACAGTGGTATTTATTATAGCAGAACACTCTGGAATGCTTGGAAATATTTAATACCTAATTTGGCTGCAGCCTCAACGCATCTTTTTTAACTTCACAGTCCTTTAATCTGAGCTTAGGAGCATCAGGCAGCACAGATAACACTCCACCAAAAATCCTTTTGCTTCCCTGCATGGCCCTTGTGCCGGCTCCGAGGAGCACTTCTTGCCTCTGAGCATCCTGAGCCAGCACGGGCTCATCACATGGCTGAGGAGGCAGCAACACAGAGACTTTGGCCACAGAAACAGCCAGGGACAGGACAAAAATCTCTCCTGAATTCGAGGAAGGAGAGGTCAGACAGAGGAACTGCCTGTCACTACCCAGTGGGGCAGGAATTAAGGCAGGAAGCATTATCTCCCCCTGGAATCTGCTCCAGAATTAATAAGGGACCAAGTTAAAAATAATTCCTTTGATGGGAATGCCTTACTGGAGTTTTACACAGCTGATTGTTTGCCATATGTCTGAGCTTCCCGGACTTCCCTGAGYCAAAGGCTCTGTGCAYGAGGAGCTCTCTGTGAGGGGACCCCACAAAGCCCCCCTGGSAYCYCCTGGMACACACTCCAAGGCAGGAGCTCTGCAGCAYCCAAARAACACAGGGCTCAGTGCAAGGTCTGATTTATTCACCTGGAATCCCAGCAGCCGGGCAAAGAAGTTGGAGCCCAAATCGCCGATGACGACRTAGAAAGCGATGCAAGTGCCCAACATCAGCCCAATCATGCTGCAAACACAAACAGGGATGGATTAGGAGGGTCATGGAAGAGAAGGACACCCCTTCTGCACTCAATCCCAATGAAACAGTCACCAGAGAACCTCCATCCACACCAAACACTTGGAGACACAGCTCTGCCCACAGCCTGTGCATGGGTTTAATTCGTGTTGGAAGGCACAGGAAAAAAAACAAGGAAAACTAATCTTGGAGATGACAAGAACTCCTTCAACTCCTGGAAAAATTTAAAAGAATCAGTACCAGACTCTTTGAACCCCAACCCCTCAGCAGGGCCCTGCCATGAGAGTCTCTATATCCAACAGGCTCTCCAACATCTCTCCACACAATGGACCACACTTTAATGAAAAGATTGTCCATGAACTGCTTCTCCTCCCAYTTCTGGACCATGTTCCTTCCCAGTTCCAATTATAGAACATCCCTGTGGCAATTACAGCCTCTGCTTGCATGGACAAGGAACATCTGAGGAATATTCTTGTGTATTTTTAGTGCTGTGCAGAGGTTTGCAGCTGGGAAGAAGGAGCTGGAAACGCTGCCTGCCCTGGGTTCAACATGCCTGGAAAGGAAGCCCTGCTGGAAAAAGCAGGGCTGTGAGGATTGTGCCATCACCTGAGATCTGCACTGGGGTCATGGGAGGAAGCAATCTGCCCTGAGATGGAGACAGGATTCCCCCTCAAGGCATCTGACAGGGAAGGGAGCACAGAGGGCAGGATCAGAGCAGATCCCGGGATGCAAGGAAGCAAACACTCCCTCCCACTAACTCAACAGCAGGGATGTCTCCCCTGGAAAGCTGCCACGAGTGACACGCCTGTGATTTCACAGCAGAGCAGGAGAGGAGCTCATCCCCACCTTCTGTGCTCCAGTGCCTGGGAARTGCTCCCATCTCCAGGAGCTCTGGAACGGGTGGGATGGAGGTGGCACCTGTGAGCTGWGCTGAGGGGATCTCACTCAGCTCCAGGAGACAGGAGGGGAAGGAAGGAGAGCAAAGCAAAGCTCAGAAAAGTTTTCACCAAAGACACTCAGACTGTTCACACTTCAAATAAGCAGCAGATTTACCTTGTTTCCACCAACATTTTTCCTGCTTTTCCATAGGCATGAAACGCTGGCATAAAAGGGAAAAAAAAAGGGCAAGTTAGTCAAAGAAAGGTCCAGAACAGGGCAAGATGTCAGTTCACAATTAGACACTAACAGTGACACAGGGCAGTGCAGCAGGAACCCACCACTGGTATTTTGGGGCTGTTTCCCTCACCCTCCCACTTTCTTTTTCAGCCATTCCCTCTGGAAACTGAAAACCACATAAGACAGGAACAGGGATGAGGGAGAGCCAGCAAGCAGGTTCTTTTTTTTTTCTATTTAAAACCAGAAGTGGTGTGAAGCAGCAGCCACACATGGCAGCCATTAAAGGCAATGGGAGAGAAAATATTCCTGTACAAAATTGTGTGTGGCGAAAGTTAAAGTGGTGCAGAATTCCATTCCAAGTCCCCTTTTTATTTTTATCTTCCCCCTCGAACTGGGCAGCCCGACATTGCTGGCTGGGAGAGCTGAGCTGGTGCCCAGAACGTTCAATCCCATTCCCAGAATACCCAGTGCTCCCAACCCACACCAAAGGGCTGCTGCCAAGGCTTTGCTTTCCCCCCCTCCCATCCTTGGGTTGGAGCAGAAAATGCTCAGTAGTCCTAAAATCACTGGGTTTTCTCTTAAAAAGACAATGCCAAGAAAACTTTACTTCTATTTTTAKCTCTTGCTGGGCAGAATGGGAATGGGGAGCTCCGGTGCCAAACCCAGACCACAGTACCCAAATCTGCCAGTGAGGTCCAGCATGAACCCACCACCCTGGAGTCCCCTCTGCCTTCCCTCAAGGAACAGCCCAACATTCCCAGCACCCGCCAGAAAACAAAAATCCAATCCTTTCTGGAAGCTTCTTCTGCTATTTTAAATATTAACTTCAACTCTTGATTTCCTTGGACTCTACTCCAGCTAAAAGTTCAGGAAACGAGATGTTCTCCCACAGAATGTGCAAAAAGCACGGCAGGGACCCACAGCCTGGAGCGAGGATGTGGAGGAGCACCCAAAATAGCTGCTGGATGGGTGACAGGGCAGTGGGACAGCTGCCACCAGGCAAAGTGCCCGGGCACGGGGAGCGGCCRCTCCACTCCGGCCTCCTTTGGGAAATCACAACCATGAAGGAAAAGGCAACAGCCCTAAGGGGGGCAGGCCCACAGAYGAAGGGTCTGGGAGGAGAAAAAGGAGTCAGCAAGAGGAAAACATCCCTCCTGGAGATGGGAGATTAACAGGCTGAGCTGGGGGGGAATGGTGCTGCCAATCCTTCCAGCACACATTCCAGACTCTGTACACAGCCACAGGTGATGCTGGMACCAGCCTGTCCCCCTGGCTGCTTGGAGCTGATGTTCAGTGAGAAAAATCTACCTGGGGACAATGGAAAAATGGAATTCTTTATATTCTCCAGGAGGCAACGACTGGAAAATGAACAGTACAGTTGAATCCTTGGAATGGGTCTTGGAATTGCTCAGTAATGGGAAAAGCCTTTTAAAGTGTGGGGGCTGAGCTGCCCTCAGGAGCTGTCCCTCAGGAGCTCAGCACAGCTCCTGTACATCCCAAGGGCTGCTGGAAGGGCAGCAAGCCCTGGTTAAAATTCATCTGGGAACTGCATCCACTTCCCTCCTTGCCCACATCTGCCCGTGGCCCTTCCCCTCCACACAGTGATGCCGAGCCACCCCGAGCCCCAGAGCCACGAGCAGCAGCAGCAGCAGCAGCCTGGGACACCCTTTGTGGCTCGCCATGACTGCTGCTGTTCCTCCGGAAGGCGCTGCCTGCCTGCAGGGAATGTGCCCAGCCTTCCTCCGCGTCTCAGCGCTGCCAAAGCCTCCCGGGAGTGCCTGCAGATGTCTCCGGGCCCGGCCTCCGGGGACAAAGAGGGTCTTGTGTGGAGCTGCCCGACCCCGGAGCATTGGGATGCGGCRTGGGAGCGCTCCCGGTCCATGGCACCTCTCCCAGGGCACCGGGAGCGGGCACAGGCACCGCTGCCAGCCTCTGCCTGCCAGGAGGAAGCTGGGAAGCATTGCTGGCCCTCTGTGTATCCCAGCCCTTGGCTTTGSAGTGTGCAGAGGATCCCTTCTTCCCGGGACACGCTCCAAGGTGGAGGGGACTCTCTGTCCTCCGGGAAGCAGCACACAAAGGCGTCTTGTGAAGGGCAGGGAGAGGCGGCACCGGCAGCTGGGCTGGGCGCTCCGGGGGCTCCCCCTTCCCTCTGGCACCAAAACAACCTCCCAGACCACGGAGCTTCTCCATCCTCTCCATTTCTGTAGCAGATACAAGTCRGCAGGAGCCAGGATGTGCTTCCTGGGAGCAACACCTCGGGCACTCCAAGGGAGGAGCAAACCCATCTGTCAGCAGCCAGCGCAAGCCCTTGTGCCAGGGCAGCACCAGCCAGCTCTGAACTCCCACAGAAAAGTAAGGGAGAACAAGGAAAATTGCCTTTTCCTGCTGCTTCATATGGCAGCAGCAAGGACTGGAACTCAAACACCTCCTCCTGCTCCCCRAGTCAGTCAGAATCCCAAGAGAGGCCACGAGCACAGGCCGATCCCGGYGCCAGCGCTGCGCTCCGAGGGTGGCCAGGCTCTGCCAAAACCCACCCAGGGATCYTCCAGATGTTTTTATTTTCTCAGCCCTTTGGAACCTCGCGCTGTTTCCTCTCTGCTGCGCCATAAAGGAGCTCCCAGCTCGGATYCAGGCAGCCCAGCTTCGTGCCAGGCTGGCAGGACCCACTGTCCCGGCAGAGCTGGGTGGGGAACTCATGCCCAGACCCATAATTAATTCATCCCAGACCCACAATTCATCCCAGATGGCTCCCGGGAGCTGGGGTTTGGATCATCTCCTCCTGTGCCCCGCAGAGTCAAAACAACTCAGCACCCATTAACTGGGCTGTCGGGAGCAGGATCCAACCCCCGCGGGAGAGAATGAGGGAAACTGGAAACTGCAGCGAGAAAACATTTGTTGTTCCAACAGCACCACKGAGGAAATGTAAATTTGGAGGCCAAGGTCACATTGCAGTGAGAAAAGGAGGCCTGGGAAGCAGCCCTGGAGCTGGGATCTCACCGAGGCCGGGGTAGGTCCTGCGYTTGCTGAGGTTGGCCGACTTCACCAGGAACATGCAGGACTGGTGAGTCATCCACGAGCAGAAGATGAGCAGCACAGCTCCCAGGACGATCCCACACTGCAACAGAGCAAAGGGGGAAGAGCCCAGCAGGAGATGGGGGGGTCAGGCATCTCCCACAGCTCACCCACTGTCCCTCAGCACCCCTCAGGTTCCCCCACATTTTCCCCTCTTTCTGGAAGTTCTGTCCCCTTCCTACCAGCTGTGGGGGAGATACCAGCTCCACATCACTCTCTCCACAGCACAAGAACATGTGGAACACAAGCAGCTCCCCACAGCTCCCAGCTGCACCAGTCTAAGCACCGAGGACAGAACTGGGACCAGGCTGTGGAGCAGAACTTCCACCCTGGCTCATCCCCCAGCACCCTCCACAGCTCCCAGTGCGTTCAGGGAGCACAGACAGACCCCGAGGTGCCACCTCTGCTGCAAATTTACTTATCAACAACTGCTTGGTATCACAAACTCCTCACCCAGCTCCTGCCTGGCTGCCTCCCCTGTTCACAGGGGTGGGAACCACGGGGCACCAAGCAGGTGAGTGGGAACAGGGCCAAATCCCGGTCCCAGCTGCTCTTTCCCTGCTGTGTCTGAGCCAGGAGAGCCCGTGGGGATGGGGCAGATCCAGGGGTGTGGGGGCACAGCAGGTCCAGCCTGTCACAGCCTCCAAATCAACTCACGTTTATCATGTGGATAAATTCTTTGATTTAATTTTTCCCTTCTCCTTACAAGAAAGGTCTCTCTCTCAGTTGGAGACAACAGGACAAGGAAAAGCCCAAAGTTCGGTGCAGAAGTTTTGAGTTGGAGACTTCATGACTGAGAAAACYGCAGTGTTTGGAACACAGTACAGACCTGATCTGGATCTTTAGTGTTTCCTTTGCTGATTTTCCTTTCCAACCACGGAACCACCCCCCCAGTTCGGACCGGGGGGTGCAGAGGGACCCCTAAACTGGTCGTGGAGGAGCTCGCAGAGGCTTTGGGGAGCCGAGGGCGGGGACAGACACCCCCGCCCCAGCCCGGGGGACACCGGCAGGACCCCGCTCCCCGCTCGGCCCCTCACCTGTCGGAAGCAGAAGGGCACGGTGAGCACGCTCACCCCCACGATGCTGTTCACCACGTTCATGATCAAGCCCCAGTTGGAACCCGCCGCCGCCGCCGCCGCCATGGCCCACAGCGGGGGATCCCCACGGTGGGGGACCCGGTTTGTGGCCGCTCCCCGCGCCCCACGGCCGGCTCGGAGCCCCCGGTGTCCCCGGTCCCCCTCAGCCGCCCGTGCCCGCCATGGCCCCACCGGGCCCGCCCCGACCCGGCACCGGCCACAGCGGCACTTCCGGCTTCCGCCGCCGCCGCCGGAAGCGACGTGGAGCGCGCGGCGGAGCGGGGACGCTCCTGCCGGCTCGGAGGTGCAACTCGCTGGTCCTGGGAGGCCGAAGGAGGGTCCCCATGGTTGGGGTACCCCCGGAGAGCTGAGCGGGGCCAGGGAGGTGCGGGAATGATAAAAACACACATCCGTGCGTGGAAAGGCACGAATGGGGGTGTGTGCGTGGCTTTACGTGAATGCGTGTGCATGTACATGCGTGACCGCAGGTTTTGCAGCAGCGCTGGTACCCGAGCGGGGGTCCCCGGCGTGATGGGAGCCCCCGAACGGCCCCTCGAGGGCAGCGCATCACCCCCGGCATCCCYTCTGGRTGCACATCCAGCTGTGCACWCACATCTGCTCTCCATGCCGSCTGGAGCCATCCCCAATTCCATCRCGGATGTAACCCCCATATCCCCCAGGATAAGGGAAAAAGAAGGAAATATGTGGGGGAGCTCTGGAAGGGTCCCCCGAGGCCAGGCATGGCGGCAGTTCGGAGTGGCGCTCGCCAAGGGCATGTTCCCGTCGGAACGAAACACGCGGCGCTCGTATAATTTGCAGCAATTGCGATGAGAAACCACAGGAATTTGCTGTACAAAAGGTTTGCAGGGAGGTGAACAGGCGGCCTAATTCCCTCCAGGTGCAGCGCGGGATCGGTAGCTCTGGCTGCGTTTTCCTGGCTCCTGTGTCAGAGCGGTGGCTCCATGTGTGTCCTCGGGGTGGGATGAGGGATCYTCTCCGGGTCATGCAGCTGGTTTGGGGGAGCTGAGCCATGGTCAGGAAAGGGCTCTGGTGGCTTCTCCGTGTCCGAGCGGGAGCCGGGAGCTTGGACAATTCACAGAGCGAGCCAGGAGTCCCTGTGACACGGGATGGGGATACCAGGGGAGCAGCCCCACGCTGCCACCTTCCTGCGCTCGTTCGTGCCCATCCCGAGGGAATGGGGTTTTCTCCGGYTCCTCAGGTACCATCAGCTGCACGGCAGCTCCGAGCATCCCAAATCCTGCCTCCAGCAGCACCAGGGCAGCTTCCCATCACAAACCTGCTGAGAGCGAGGGAGAATTCCCTGGCAAGTGTGAACGACTCTGAGCGGCCAGGCACCAGCAGGAGGGAGCCCTGATCCCGCTCTGCCGGCACAGGACACTGAGAGCTTTGGGATCCAGCAGCAGCATTCCCACCACAGGATCCACTGGGAATCCCAGGTGGCTCAGAGCCCTTCCCAGTCCTGCCCCATGGCCCAGATTCCTCCCGCTGGATTTGGAGCCATGCAGAGCAAGCAGCCCCGCAGGACGGCAGAGCCACAATTACTGTAATTAGAAATGGGGGCTCAGGGCTGGCTGATCCCACAGGGATCCTGCGCTGCTTTATGGAAGAACAAATCGCTCGGGATGTCCACGGGCTGCTGCTGTGTCCGACGCTGCTCCGCAGGGATGTGCACACGTGTGTTTGCACTGTGCTGAGCTGAGCCACATTCCCAGCTCCCGTGGGAAATGCTGTCCCAGGAAAACAGCTGGGTCCATCTCTGCTCCCTCTCCCGTCCCACCCTTGTTCAGGAATTCACCTCAGTGGCAGCCTCATGCCAGGGAGCTCCCATGAATTCCCGTGGYACAGGGTTGCTCTTCCTGCTCTTCCCTGGAATCACGAGCTCCMTGGGACCATCCCTGCCCTCCCTTCTTGGGGAGCACAGCACAGGGTCCGGGGGGAATGGGAGGGAATGGGAACCCCCTCTCCAGACCCTGGGCAAGCCCACCCACACCCCACTGTGCCCCCTTTGCCCACAGATCGGCACCCAGCACCCAGGGCCACCCTGCTCCCGACGGCTGGTTCCGGTGACAGATGCCTGGCAGATCCTGGGAACCACCCAGCAGGGATTGAAAAACATAAATTAAAACAAATTGCAGTTTTATATTGCAAATAAGGGCAGTTTGATGGGTTTTATTGCAGAACAACCGTTAATGAAGTGCAGTTTCAGGCACCTTAATTGCTCAGGGACCAAAGTTCAGTCCATATCTCCAGCAGGGCTGGGAGCCGCCGTGCGTCCCGCGAGGGCCTGGCAGGTTGGGAACGGGATTGAGAATGAATTTATGGGCACGATGAGGGGGATGGAGGCAAGGGCCCCAACGCATGTGTGGGGTTTGGGATAAACAGCAAAGCCTGTGCTGGGGACAGAAGAGAGGCAGGCCATGGTGACCCGTCCCATGGTGTTACCCCAGTGTCAGCCTTGGGGCCCCAGAGTGGGTGCTTACCATGGGGTGAATTTTGGAATGGGGGCACCGATGCCTTTGGGACGCTGTGCTGCCCCAGGGGCTGGGCAGGATCGATGCAGAGCCAAGACCGTGGGAAGCCCCCTTCACCCCCCAGAACAAAACCCGCGTGGGTGTGCAAGGCACAGAGGGGTGTGCGGGTGGCCATAGCACCGGGGGTACAACCGGGGGAGATCCACATGCAGCCACGCACACACAGGACAAGGATCGCGCCCGCCCCACGCGAACCCCGGCGAACCACCGTCACACCCGCGCGTGGACGCGCTCCCCACCTGCACGCACCCACGCCTAGCACAGGCACGGAGCTGTAGCGAGCCGTTCCGAGCCTTACCGGGCCGTTACCGGACCTGACCGAGCCGCACGGGTCCGGYGCGGTTTCCCCGCGCGCGCCCATTCATTCCCCACCCGAGCCGTGGGAACGAGCCGCGCGCGCCGCGGGCGGGAAGCGCAGCCCCGCGCTGGCCACGCCCCCTCCSTGCTCATGAATGGGCGCGCCCCGCCCCTCTCCGCATTAGGGCATACGGCGCGGTTCGGGGGGCGGGGCCAGAGCGGGTCCGCCCCGCCCCCTCGCCCCGCCAATCAGCGCGGCGCGCCGGGCCCCCCGCCGGGCCCCGGCCTTTGTTTGTGGAGGGCACCGGGGCCAATGGGAGCGCGGGACGGGGGGTGCTGGGCCAATGGGAGCGCGGGGGGGGCCGAGGGGCGGGGCGTGGGGCACGGCCCGGCCCGGCCACGTGCGCGCGGAGCCGCCTCCGCCGGGACCGGGGACAGCGACGGGACCGGGGGGACCCCGGCATGGCCGAGCGGGGCCGGGATCACCGGGCTGTGTCCCAGAGGGTGCCCCGGTGATCCCGGCAGTCCCAAGGACACCTGCCTGTCTATGCACTGTCAATGCCAGACCCCGGTGCCGCTCAAGGTTCGGCACCTTCCTGCCCCGGTAGACACCGGAGGGCCACGGTAGAGCGGCTCCAGCCCCTGCTGCGTCCCTCGGGCGCTGTCCCGGGTGTGTTGTGGGTCAGGGCTAGCAGAGGTGGCAGCAGGGTTATTTTGTGTTTGGATATCTGTGGCCCCACTCACCCATTACAGCCAGGATTGGGGAGGGGGCGTCGTACYGGGCAGCAAATCCCAACTGCTGCAGCCCCCGCGCAGACAGAACTGCACCACACTCCAGGGCAGGGACAGAGCCACGAACAGATCTGTGTACTGGGACAGGGCTGTGCCAAAAACCGACTACCTGGAGGGGACCACACYGGGCAGGAGCCTCCCGAGGGGRCCTGGAMAGGAMCACCRTCMATGCTTGAGYTGTGTCCRGGATCTGCTGTCCTCTCCTTGGCCGTGACACATTTCCTGGTTCCCAGCTGGCCCCAGCACCAGGCCAGCCCCATGCGCATGCTGTAGGGCCGCCTGCTGCTGGCCACACTCATGGCAAAGCCAGGGCACTCCCAGCCCAGCAGCAGGAGGACAACTCTTTGCTGAAAAGGTGAAGGTCACAGTCATTTTCTCTGTCACAGACAGCTCCCAGTTCTGTGTTTGTCCGTTCCTATCCCTCCTGTGCTCCAGGACACCATCACAKCACAGCTCAGCATCACRCCGGCCRTGGCTCTGACATTCCCAACTGYGGTGGTGTTGTGGTGGTGGCTGCTRAYGGCCAGGCCAGGGGGTGCTGCCTCCGCTTCTGGTTTGCTCCTCATCCCCCTCCCTGTCTCCCATCCCCAGCTCACAGCTCTGGATCCATCCCCCTGTGCAGCCAGGCCTGCCCAAACCACGGCAGCAGCACCGAGCCCCGGGGCAGGGCACAGCCCCGGTGTCACCTGCTGGTCAGGACAGCGGCCGCTCCGGGCCAGCCCCGCCGCGCTCCTCGCTCCTCGGCAGCGGGGGAAGCACCGGTGCATCTCCCGGGGCCCGGGAGAGAACAAAGGAGGGCAGCTGCAGCGGAGGGAGCGGCGCTGCCGGATGCGCTGCAGCGCGGATAATCCGCCCCGGCACAGCCTCCGGAGCACCGGCAGCTCCGGGTGCGGGGCGGCCGCTCCGCCCGAGGCGGGAGGGCTCAGCGGGGATGGGCAGGGGGCTCATCCCGGTTCCCCACGCAGCCCCATCCCGCATCCTCGTGCCGTGCCCCCCGTTCCATCCCGCCCCGCGCCCCGGTGTGGCCGCGGCGGTGCTCACCCCGGCTAATGCCGCGCCATAAAGGAACCGTCTTACATTAACGACTTTTGTCACCGAAGTCATTAACATAATAGGGCTTCCACATCAAAATTGAATATTAATGCTCCGCCGGCTGCGGAGGGAGGCGGATAATTGCTCTAATACATTTTCCAGTCGGATTTTCGCATCGTGGCAGCAATTGCATTAGCAAACCCGATTATTCCCACGGCCGGTACAATGGGATGGTTAATGGGAGTTAAGTTCCTGCCTTTTTCCTCGGACCCCCGAGTGGCTGCGGCTCCGTGCCCCCCACTGCCCCCACCCGCGGGGAGCACGGGGCAGGGGGCGAGGTYCCTGAGCTGAGAGCGGAGGGGACAGTGGTGCAGAGCCACCTCGTCCCTCCGCGCCGGCAAACACAACCCTTGGACGCAGACGGCCTTGAGACGCGCCGGGAACACTGCGGCCAGCTGGAAAGCCGCCTGTCCCTGGAGCCGTGCTGTGCTGTTCCGTGCCATTCCGAGCTGTGAAGGACAGCAGAGGGGACACACGAGCCAGGGGGTCCCGCCACAGCGGTGCTGGGGCTCCAGGGAGAGCCAGGGCTTGTTACAGATCCCTCTCTGGGAGTATCAGKGGACCCTCCAGCCTCCTTTCCCTTCTGAGGGGGCTCAGCAGCTCCTGGGAGGATAAAGCTCAGGAAAATAGCTGAGAAGGTGGAACATTATTGGAGTTGCAGCCCCTTCACTACCCCAAACCTGTCCCCTGTGTAGGGACAGGTGTGCCCTCTGCCACCACACCCCATCCTCGGGATGCTCTCTTACACCCCAGAGTGACACCAAATTCAGGGGGCTCCGTGGTGGCACAGCCCCAGCTGAGGGGGGATAAGGCACCGTGAGAGCAGCAGCAGCAGTGGACAAAGGTAGCTGCAGGGCTGGGGGGTCGATGTGAGGGGGGTTGTGATTAWATTTGCTTTAATTGTGCTCATTTGGACTCACTTCATTGATCAACCTCACACAGCAGAATTATCCCCACAGGGCAGGGGGGCTGCCACAGGGTTTAGACACCCACAGTGGGGGTCTGGCTACGCACTGGRGGGGCTGCCCAGATGGAATGTGCCCACATTTCCCCAGGGTGGGGGGTCTGCCCATGGGAGGGGGCTGCCCAAAGCAGGGGCTTGCCCAGGGGATGCTCCCACTGTGCCCTGGTGCTCCACAATCACTGGACTCAGCCCCTTCCYACCCAGCACCAGGGTTCCCCCAGCCCCTTCCCATTCCCACTCCTGTGAGCGTAACTGCAGGAAGGAAGAGCCTGAGAGCCGCTTTTTCTGAGGTTTTTTTGGTTTTCTTTTTCAGTCAAGAAACTCTTTCCCAGCACTCCTCAACCACGAGTGGCTGCACACCACGTCCCCCCACGCCGGGATCTGCACCGCGCACGGATAATCCATCACAGCCCTTTCCCAGCCCTTCCCACGTGGAGAGGGATCCAAGGGGCCTTCGCACGGCAGCAGTGGAGCAGAATGCAGAGGCTGAGTGTGCGGTGCCTCCGTGCTGCCGGTGCCATCCCGTGTCCTTCCGTGTCCGTGTGTCCCTCAGCGTGTCCCCGTGCATGGCTCCGTGCCGCAGCCGCACGTCCCGCTGCACCAGCGCCTGTGCCGGGCTGAGCCCTGCGGTGCGGCCGCCTGTTCCCGGCTGTCCTTGTCTGTCTGTCCCTGTGCCGTGTCCGTGTGTCCTGGCGTGCTCAGCTCTGTCCGTGCGGTGCCGGAGGGTCCCCGTGGCCCCCGGCCGCTCCCTCCTAACTCGATTGCCGTCCCGCGTAATGAATCGCCCGCCGTAATCTAATCGTGGTTACGAGTGATTGGGATTTATTTCAGCGTTTTCAATCAATTACCGCCTTTTATTGCAAAAAAAGAAAAAAAAAAAAAAAAAAAAAACCCTCAGTGCCCTGAGAGGGACCCCGGTGGCAGCCGCTGCCAGGCCTCAGTGCCCGGTATCCCCCAGTGCTGCTCCCGCTCCTGTTCCCGCTGTGTGGTCCCCGGTACCCCATGGGCTCCCCTCGCCCTGTGCAGCCCCCCCCTATCACACAGCCCCTCAATTTGCTCTGCCCCCTCCCCGCATTGCACACAGCCCCCCAACGTTGCACTGTCCCACACATTGCTCTGCATGGCCTCCCCACGTTATACAGCCCCCCCAACAATGCACAGGCCCCCAGCATTTCACTGCACATGCCCCCAACACCTACACCCTCACCTAGCAGGGCCCCCAACCATCCCAAACCACCCCAATGCAGGCCCCCAACACTGCACACTCCCACCCTGCTCTGCATGGCCCCCCGRCATTGCACAGCCCCCGACATCGTACGCCCCCATTGCACATCCCAATAACGCACATCCCCCTTTGCTCTGCACGGCTCCCCACATTGCACCCCCTCACTGCACGCCCCCCAACCCTTCACCCCCCGGCTCGCACGGCCCCCTCCCGTCCCCGGCAGCCCGCCCATGGCTCCGCCGCCCGTCCCGGACCTGCGGCCGGCGCTGCCCGCGGCCCCGTTCCCCTCTCGCCGCTCTTTGATCCCGCTCGCTCCGGCCCGGGGCGCTCCGGGGTGTGCGCGGGGGGACCTGGAAACCGCCCCCGCCGCGCGTGTCCCCCCCCACCCCCCGGGGGGGGCGCCTTGAAACCGCCCGCGGCACCGGCCAATGGGCGCCTTGTTTACACTGCGTGATTGACAGCTCGCTGGCGCGCCGCCAGCCAGTCAGAGCGCGGGGGGGGCGCTCGCGCTGCGGCGGGGGGGGGTGCGCAGCAATGCAATTCCGCCGCCCCTCCGCCCCGAGCGCCCTCTGCGCCTGCGCGCCGCTCCCTCCTCCCCATTCATCCGCCGGGCTTGAATTAGGCGCCGCCGTTCCGCGCCGCTCGCCGCGCGCTGATTGGCAGGAGCGCTGGCGGCCCGCCAGCCAATCGGCGGCGGCGCTCGCTTGACGCGCGG